GCCAAGCGATTAGTTAATTCATTTTTAACAGCTTTATAAACCAGAAGCTGCATTGGTGTTCGGTCAAAAGAAATAGAAATATTGCTGGAATCAGGAATAAGTGTAAACTGAAAAGAGTTACGCAAAATGTCAGTAATATTATCAGTCGAAGACAAAAATACCTTCACAGGACGACAACACTCTTGTTTATAAGAATCTGCCCAACCGTATAAATTTTAAATCGTTTTCATTTTTTTGGAAGCGTAATTTTACCACCTTTCAGTTGATAATTATTTGTGTTAAGATCCTTGTCATTTTTGAGACCAAAGATAACTTCTGATAACCTCCTGAACTATATTTTCAACATCAAGTAAATTAGCCTGTGAATATGCAGCGTCCGGCGTTAGCATTTTTGTTTTCAAGTCATTGATATCATTTCTCAACTGGGTACAATTCTTGCATGTCCAAGTCAAACCGGGTTTGAGTGGCCTCCCCTGATGAAATATTCACACAATCTATTTTATAGGGTTTGTTATATAGGCAATAGTTCACAATTTTCTGCGGTTCTACAGGAACATTTTAACAACTACAATTTATAGTGCCCATATTTTAGGAAGTTGCATATAACAGGGGCATTTTTTTCACACTGAGGGTGTCGGTCACAGTGACTTTATAAAAAAATATTCGCATACAAAAAAAGTCGACAACGGTAAGGAACAGCGACTGAGTACAAAGGTCAAGCAAATTGAGAAGATTTCTCTTAAAAGCACTAGTGATTAGTAATAACTAGAGCTAGGCGGTCGAAATTTAAACGCTTCGAATCGACCCCTACTACGGCAGACCAGTGGCTCGCAGCCGATGTTACGTATCGCGAAAAATAATGTTCACTGAAAGTCAGTTGATGATTCTAGAATCCATATCCACGAAATAAAAAGAATAATAATTTTAATAATGTTCAAGTGTCGGTCTCGTTGACAATAAAACGATTGGTGAGAATTATGAAAAATAATACACAATGGGAAGCGAGAAGCGAGGAAGGCAAGACTGCAGCGGCCTGCACTGCTGGCCTGATGGGACGGATCGTGGGGATAAATAAATTTCGACCGCACAGCTCTAGTAATAACTAAAGGCAGGCAAAATTAGTTGGCGCGCTCGAAAAGTTCTCCAACTACACTTTTAATGTCTTCTGATATAGTTAAATCAAATATGAAGTTAGTAAATTTTTGGAGATCCTTTCTGTTCAAGTTTTTATTTAATTTGGGGTTGTTGTCCGCCTCTTGAACGCCTGGAGTGTATCATTAGGAGACTGAATGGTTATGGTTACATGTTTCGACTTTATTAATTAACGTCCTCAGATTTTGTATAAATCTCGGGCATTTTCGTTATTAATTTTATCAATTTTCATAAATTTTAATATCCACGTTACTAGCTTGTTAAACATAAGCTGATTATGACGTTAATTAATAAAGTCGAAACATGTCGTAACCATAACTATTCAGTCTCCTAATGATACACTCCAGAGGTTCAAGAGGCGAACAACAATCCCAAAGTGAAGTTAGTAAGTTATGGATACCAGTAATAGTTTTAGCAAGAAAAACTGGAAAGCCAAAGTTCATGAAGTAGAGCAGAAGAATATTTTTAATATAAAAGAATTGACCGAATACATGGGAATACATTTTTCTTTGAATGGTAAAGATGGGAAAGTTAATTGGAGCGTAATACATTTTTTTAAATTATTATGTAAAAAGAATTTAAATACATCAGATTATCACTCATTTTATAAGACTTTAGCCATAATAGATGTTGAATGAATTAATATTGTGATTGTTTTGTATTTTGTTATATTCTTTTCATTAAAATGTGTTGCTAGTTTGCTCTTGTATTAAATTTATTAACACGCAAGTCAAAATATTTGGCATTGTATACCAGTGCAATAGTCACGTAAGTCAAAATTTCTTGTTTTCTATAACGAGTAGAAGGTTCTAGTTTAAAGGCAAAAAAACACTCTTAATAATAGGTTGACAGTACGACTATAATGTATTCCTAAGTATTTCGTATTTAAAACACAAATAATATTACAAAAACTTGGGAATGTTAAATCATCATTACTCAAAATATGCTGTTTTTGAGTTACGTGACTATTGCTCTCACAGTGCGATATGTAAATTTTATATAATAATTCGCTCTATACACATGAAAATTTCACTAACAAAAATTGTACGTACGTACACTGATGAGAGCTCAACACAATATATATAATCTTGATTTATAATAAAAAATTGGTCTAAAGAGTTTAGACAGTACTTCCCTCGCTGTCGGAAACGTGACGACTGCATGCCTATTATGTTTTTTTTTTTCGCAGTAGATTTCAAAGCATTCCTGAGTAAACCAGTAAAATAAATTTACGCATTCATTTTTTTTTTGAGTCACCCGGTATACGCAAATTCAAAAAATATGAATGGAATGATAAATTACAAGTACAGACTCATCATATTTTGTATATTCTAGATAGGATTTATTCGGCAAACTTTTGAGCTGACGTCATCAGTTTTTTGGAGAAGATAACCAAATATATTTTGACTAAAAATATATTATGCTCTTTATAACCTTAAAACATCTGTAAGATTTCAAAACATTCGGTTCTGTAGTTCCCTGTCACCCTGTATATGCAAATCCAAAATATATGAATGGAATGATAAATCACAACAAGAGATTCATCATATTTTGTACATTTTAGATAGGATTTATTCAGCAAAATTTTGAGGTGACGGCATCAATTTTTTAGTGGGGAATGAGCAAATACATTTTGACTAAAAATTTACCATGTCTATGATAACTTTAAAACATCTCCAAGATTTCAAAGGATTCGGTTTTGAAGTTCCTGATTAAATCAATAAAATAAATTCACACATTCATTAATTTTTTTGAGTCACCCTGTATATGCAAATCCAAAAAATATGAATGGAATGATAAATCACAACTATACACACTTAATATTTTGTATATTTTAGATAGGATTTATTCGGCAAACTTTTGAGCTGACGTCATCAATTTTTTGGAGGGGATAAGTAAATATATTTTGATTAAAAATTTATCATGCTTATCACAACTATAAACCATCTGCATGATTTCAAGGCATTCGGTTTTGCAGATTCAAAATTAAATTGCAAAATGTTGTTTCATAATTTTGATTTTTTTTCCAAAAATCTGGACGTGTCGGGTAAAAACTCAATTCGGCATAAACTATATATGTAGGACTATGTTATTTTATACAATTTAAAACTCATTTACTATGTACAATTTTGAAGTGACGTCATCGCATTAGTGGTGGGGATGATTAGACAAATTTTGGTTAACGTTTTACTATCTACATGATATTCCTAATATAAGCATAAAATTTCACAACAATCGATCCAGTACTTTCGGAGATTATCTGTCTAATAAAAATCCGGGACGGCAGACTGACAGACGGACAGACGGACAGACAGCGGAAACGGGAGACCTATTTCTTCGTCGTCTAGGAGTCATGAAAGATCGAAAAAACGTAAAAGCAGAGAGTCGGCGGACGGACTCGATTACACTACTTCCTTTGCTTACGCTCGGGAAGTAATAAAATAACGAAACAATTTAATCACGTCTGTCGTGTGTAGCACCAGAGGTGCGACTGAAGCCTGATCGGAAAATTATTTATAAGCACATAATTTTGATATTTTTTTCCACAAATCTGGACGTTTCGGGTAAAAACTCAATACGGAATCATAAACTACTTGTGTAGGACTGTGTTATTTCATACAATTTAAAACCCGTTTACTATGTACAATTTTGAAGCGACGTCTTCACATTGGTGGGATGACAAATTTTGGTTAGCGTTTTACCATCTACATGATATTCCTAATATAAATACAAAATTTGACAACTATCGGCCCAATACTTTCGGAGATTATCTGTCTAAGAAAAATCCGGAACTGCAGACAGACGGACAGACAAACGGAAACGGAAGACCTATTTCTTCGTACTGTAGGTGTCATGAAAGGTCGAGAAAACGTAAAGTAGAGAGTCGGCCGACGGACTATACTGTGCATATGTTTTTTCGAAAATTTGGACGGTTAAGGAAAAAACTTAAAGCGGATTCGTACACCCCACGTATAGAAGTAAATTGTTGTAACTATAACAGTATAAATCAAATAAACATAAATTCTTTGAAATGACGTCATCAAATTGTTGGTGGGGATGATTAGCAAAATTTTGGATACTGGACCGATTGTTACCAAATTTGTATGTATATTAGAATGTCCTGTTTATGGTCAAACACTAATCAAAATTTGGCTAACCATCCCCACCACTAAAAAAAAATTGATGATGTCATCTCAAAATTTTGCCTAATAAATGCTCTCGAAAACATGCATTATTATGCCTCTATACTTGAGTGGTCGGTATCGATGCACTCATAGTTTTTAGTTATTTATGCAGGTGACTCAAAAAAAAAATTATGAATGAGGCAACATTTTATTAATTAAATCAAGAAGACTCATCCCATTTTCCCGAAAATTTGGGAAAACAGAACTGTTATTATTAGTATTATATTGCATCTATACAAACTAATATACGTGTCCTTGCAAAAACGTTGATGACGTCATCACAAACTTTTGCAATGGAAAAAATGGCCTAAAACAAACCCTTCTTTACCTTTATTTTTAGCATTATAGACATATATTTGTTTTTATTTGTAAGGGTTATCATAAAAAAATAAAATTCGCAAGATTAAATCTTATAATATTTTTCGAAAAAGCTGGATTTGTTGTATTGTCCTTCAGGAACGAGGGAAGTTCTGTCGAAATAACCTTCGACCAATTTTTTTAACATCTTTAGCGCAGCGGCATTGCAGCAAAAAAACCTCGGAATTTAACAGACTTTTTCAGTCATTAATACCAATTAATAATAATAATAATATCAACAATTAATAAAATTCAAAAATTTGTACTTTACTGAAAAATTGTTGGTTGTCTGATAACGCCCCATCGGCACAGGATAGACCATGGACGTATGAATATAATATATTCTTTCCTGCATGGTATAGACCACAGTAGAGATAACAATCAGTAGAGACAGCTCGCCGTTTTTCGTGACCCGTTTTCGTGGGTGGTCGTTCGCATTATGACCGAATGAGGGCGCCCAACTGACGTCTAAAATATTTGAAATTGACCAGTAAAGTAAGGTTAGAATTTAGAATGCGCGGCAGTTCATAATTCAAAAATTCTACTATGGGTTTCTTATGGGAGCTTGATTTTACAGACAAAATACGCCGCATAGGTAGAAATCTTAACTAGTTCATGCTACAAGCGATAAAGACTGTACAATTATCTTCCTGTTACTAAAGGTTTAACTATATAAAAAGCTTCTGTTAAAGATATATTGCAAATTAAAAACAACGCTATCCATCGAAGTAACGTACATCGTTTCTAACGTCTTGCGCATGAGTGAAACGGAAAATCCAGAAACACTTGGGAAAGAAAAAGAACGCGAATATTTTGCGGTACTAGTGACGTTTAGATCGTGAAAATCCCCAAAATATGACAGTTGATTTCGTATTTTCATCACAACAAACAATCATAATCACAGTTTTTGGATGATATATTAGTTCTGTGATATTGATTCACATTGGGTTGTATGTATCTGTGGACTGTTTTTTTTGTATTTGTTATTAATAATGACAGAAAGACATGTGTTAACAATAGGGGCAATTGCCATTTTTTTTGTTGGAGAAAATTCTTTACAGTCAAATAGTGTAGCGAAAGTCAATTGGTATACTGAATTAAATGTGCTTGAAGAGTTTATTCGAGCTAGAATGCGAAAAGATTATGGTAAGTTAATGTATATTGATAAATTCTGTGTCAAGTAAAATTATGACGTATTTTGTTTTATTATGCATAGATATTCCTTAAGAGAGGCAACATGTGAAACCCCAAGAGGTGCATTTGTATATCATCATATGGCTACACCTGCCCTACACGGACGTTATAATGTATTGTGGACCAATAATTTGCGTGCTTGAGACGTACATCTGAAGAAAAGTGAATCAGCTGAGGTGCGAGCTGTTGTCTCTGAAAATTCTTTTAATCCCCAAGTCAGCCTAAAAACAGCTAATGTTGAGGTACAACTTCATGAAAGCTTAGGACAAACTGATAGGAGCGAAGCACTGCTTTTGCTATTGGGCCCTGAACTAGAAAGATCTGAAGAAAATCTACTTCACAGTATCGAAGAACTATTAGTGTCCGAGGACTATTTTAATGGCCCATCAAGAAAACAGTTTGTGGGTCAGTTTTTCACCAAAAGTGAATCAGATTTTGCATTAGGAAGTGCAATTTTTTATTGTAAAATACTTTTTTTTTGTTTTGAAATAAATTGTTCTTTAAATTGTGACTTTTTTTTAATGGGTGTTTCAGACCCAATTCGTACTAAAATGAGAGTGATTTTTACTTGTACATGAAAGGTTTAATCAGGAATGCTAAGTTTTTCCTTTTCTAGCAAAAATGTGTGAAAAGAAAAAAGCTTGGGATTGATGATGATTCTTAAATCAAAATTTGGCAATTGATTGAAAACATTTGCAAATATGAGATCTCCTTTATGTATTTATTATTTTAAATTCACAGCCGTATCTGTAGCATCTGAAAATCAAAGCCATTTATGTGGAGGGGGAAGTCAATGGCAGTATGAACCACTGTACGACATACGTTCGAGGCAAATGTAGTGGTAAAAGTTGAATTTAAATATTTATTAAATACTACCGGTTCCGTTCATGTTTGGTATCAAGATCAACAGTAAAAATATCAGTCTTAATGGTACAGGTAGTGGGATATATAAGAAAATTACTTTAATGGTACAATTTAAGCGTTAAAGTGACGCCTCGATTTCACCCATAAGGATTACACGGGGAACTGAAATACGGGTCTCGTGTTATGAACTGAGTTCAAATTTCGCGCGTCATTCAATTGACCAGTAAAGTGAATGACGCGCGAAATTTGAACTCAGTTCATAACACGAGACCCGTATTTCAGTTCCCCGTGTAATCCTTATGGGTGAAATCGAGGCGTCACTTTAACGCTTAAATTGTACCATTAAAGTAATTTTCTTATATATCCCACTACCTGTACCATTAAGACTGATATTTTTACTGTTGATCTTGATACCAAAGATGAACGGAACCGGTAGCATTTAATAAATATTTAAATTCAACTTTTACCACTACATTTGCCTCGAACGTATGTCGTACAGTGGTTCATACTGCCATTGACTTCCCCCTCCACATAAATGGCTTTGATTTTCAGATGCTACAGATACGGCTGTGAATCTAAAATAATACATAAAGGAGATCTCATATTTGCAAATGTTTTCAATCAATTGCCAAATTTTGTTTTGATTTAAGAATCATCATCAATCCCAAGCTTTTTTCTTTTCACACATTTTTGCTAGAAAAGGAAAAACTTAGCATTCCTGATTAAACCTTTCATGTACAAGTAAAAATCACTTTCATTTTAGTGCGAATTGGGTCTGAAACACCCATTTAAAAAAAAATCAATTTAAAGAACAGTTTATTTCAAATCAAAAAAGTATTTTACAATAAAAAATTGCACTTCCTAATGCAAAATCTGATTCACTTTTGGTGAAAAACTGACCCACAAACTGTTTTCTTGATGGGCCAATAAAATAGTCCTCGGACACTAATAGTTCTTCGACACTGTGAAGTAGATTTTCTTCAGATCTTTCTAGTTCAGGACCCAATAGCAAAAGCAGTGCTTCGCTCCTATCAGTTTGTCCTAAGCTTTCATGAAGTTGTACCTCAACATTAGCTGTTTTTAGGCTGACTTGGGGATTAAAAGAATTTTCAGAGACAACAGCTCGGACCTCAGCTGATTCACTTTTCTTCAGATGTACCTCTCAAGCACGCAAATTATTATTGGTCCACAATACATTATAACGTCCGTGTAGGGCAGGTGTAGCCATATGGTGATATACAAATGCACCTCTTGGGGTTTCACATGTTGCCTCTCTTAAGGAATATCTATGCATAATAAAACAAAATACGTCATAATTTTACTTGGCACAGAATTTATCAATATACATTAACTTACCATAATCTTCTCGCATTCTAGCTCGAATAAACTCTTCAAGCACATTTGATTCAGTATACCAATTGACTTTCGCTACATTATTTGACTGTAAAGAATTTTCTCCAACAAAAAAAAATGGCAATTGCCCCTATTGTTAACACATGTCTTTCTGTCATTATTAATAACAAATACAAAAAAACCAGTCCACAGATACATACAACCTAATGTGAATCAATATCACAGAACTAATATATCATCCAAAAATTGTGATTATGATTGTTTGTTGTGATGAAAATACGAAATCAACTGTCATATTTTGGGGATTTTCACGATCTAAACGTCACTAGTACCGCAAAATATTCGCGTTCTTTTTCTTTCCCAAGTGTTTCTGGATTTTCCGTTTCACTCATGCGCAAGACGTTAGAAACGATGTACGTTACTTCGATGGATAGCGTTGTTTTTAATTTGCAATATATCTTTAACAGAAGCTTTTTATGTAGTTAAACCTTTAGTAACAGGAAGATAATTGTACAGTCTTTATCTCTTGTAGCATGAACTAGTTAAGATTTCTACCTATGCGGCGTATTTTGTCTGTAAAATCAAGCTCCCATAAGAAACCCATAGTAGAATTTTTGAATTATGAACTGCCGCGCATTCTAAATTCTAACCTTACTTTACTGGTCAATTTGGCAGTTTTGTTACAATATTTTTGCCGGTTTTGCTTGTTTAAGACTGCTTTTCCGGTAGAATTGTACAAATAGTGTAAAAATGTAATTTTCACAATAAAAGGTAAAATCTTTGTCCGATGAATTTTCATACAGGATCCCTGTTGTGCGCCTTATTCTCTCCATCGTGTTTGGAATTCTTGGAAAAGATAGTAAACATAACACACTTTTTGTTTAAAAAGTCGTCGCAAACGGACAACAACGGTGGTTATGAAATAAATAATAAAAATTTATTATATATGATTCCGTTGTTGTGGTAAAATTAAATATAAAAATAATAAGAAACAAACTACACGTAACAAAAAATTATATAAGCAGACCATCTCTCAATAAACAATTTTTTTATTCATCATATATTTTTTGACCTACACAATCTTGAGTTTTATTTTGAAACGTTGCTTAACCCATAAGCAGTCGCGCGTGGATAAAAATGACCCAAGCCATACATTTTGTCAAATATCCTTTTTCGCTTAATCCCTATGGACTTCCGGTTTCATGAATTCCTTAATTATTCTTACCTGCGTCGACCCATACCAATTACCTGCACTTTATGTGAGCGGACAAATATGCATTTTTTTTGTAATATTTTTTTTTAAATAAAAATTTTACTTTATATGATATTACGCTTACGGGTTAAGTTGTTAGGTAAAATGGGTTTGACTATACATTAATAAGACGCCTTTGCCAAGACAGACGCACTAGAAAACTGTTTTTGATGGATTAGGAAACAAAATGGAAATTCTATTAACCCCACATCTAATCAATTTCAAATGGCTTTTAGAAAATTAATCATACAAGATTATTTTGATGAAACGAACACAGGTAATCAAAACTGCGAGCCTGATATGGAAGAAATTTTAAAGTTGTATGTAGGTCGTCGTTTTGATGAAGAAGAATCAGTCACCACGATGCAGAAGACCACCTTAAAAGATTGTGATTATCACTTTCACACAGCTGAACAAAACGCAATTAGATATATCTGTGGCTACCTAATTCGGAATGTTTATTAGTACACAGTTGTAGTGAATGTGAAAAATATGCAAATGAACATAAAAGTTTAGACAACAGAAGCATATATTCACATTTCAGAGCCTACCAAACGAAGAATTGCGAGTTATTTGGTAAATTATATATGCCAAACGATAATTTCTTTTTTTTTACATTTGTGAATTAGAGCAAATTTTTAGTGAAAATTTTGAAAATATAATTTTACAAACAACTACTTTGTTGAAATTTTTAAATTTATATAAGCAAGCTACATTTGTTTATCCATGCCAAAACTTTCCATACGATTATTTGCTTGCTTTGTATGCTAGGATGAGATTATTTTATGCACTAAAATTTGTAAATGCTAGCTTTAAATTTACAAATGCCAAAGGTGAAAAAATTAATAGAAAGAAAATAATTTGGCAGCATTAACTTTTTTCCTTTTTGTAATTTAATTTTTATTTGATTTATTTTTTCTTAAATAAACCTCTTTCTTTTTAGATGAATTTATTACATTATTTTTACAATGATAATTAAACCTCAAGTATTCGGGGAAAGAATGTGCGAATTGTCAAATTGTGTAAGTAATAAAATAAAAACTGTAACAAATCATCGTGTTTATAAATTAAATATCGACTTTTCTTTTTTCTTATTGCGATTCACGATTATACGATGTGAGCAAACTACACAGTTTGCAATAAATTGCGTACACGGATCAATTTTTGAAATTGTAAATGAAGTGATACTTTTTAAATTGGGTGGCGACATCTAGGAATAATTTAGGCAACGACCACCCATGATGGCTTAAAATTCGGGTCAGAAAGAACAAAGGCGCCGACACGAGCTGTCTCTACTGATTGTTATCTCTACTGTGGTATAGACACAGTATAGGCAGAGAACATATATAGGGATCATGATCATATTGTGGTATAGAGATTATTCAGTAGGGACAACTACTTTGATGTTTCTGACCCAACAAATTTTAAGTCGTCATCGGTGGTCGTTGCTATTTTTTGCTCGCCAATTTAAAAAGCATCAAAGTTCGTTTGAAAATTTAAAAATGGATTAGTATACGCAATTTACAACACACTACCAAATCGTAATATGTATTGTAAATCGCAAAAAGAAAAGAGAGAAGTCTGTTGTTGGCACAATTCACACATTCTTTCTCAGGATACTTGTAGTTTTGTAATGATTATCAAAATATGGTACTTAATAAATACATCATATAAAATAAAAAGATTTGTTTCCTAAAAAAAATAAATAACAAATAAGTTCAAAAAGAACCCATAAATATTTTATTAAATATAAGTCCTATTTCTAACTTTGTGCATAGAATTTTCGGAAAAGAATTAAAAATAGTGTAATAACTAATAAGTTCATAAGACAAACGACCACCCATGAAAACGCGTCGCTAAAAATAGCGAGTTGTCCCTACTGAATAGTCTCTATACTGTGGCATTGGTTTAAAATCTGTAATTCTCTAATATTAAAAAAAAATTGCCGCAGCACTCTTTCTAAATTTGTCAGCGTGAAAACGAGCACTTTTCGTTTTCGTAACGCGATAAGTTTATTTTTAATGTGGGGTGTAAAACTTGTAAACTTAGATTTCCCTTTAAACCAACGGGCAACACTGCGTGTTAACTGTTTTTTCTTCATGCCGGTATTACGTCAGTATCTGTGTCAGTATTGCGGATTGCGGGTACCGATGTTCTGTGGGTGCTGGTTGTGGGTGCCGGTCTGCCGGCTGCCGGTAGCCGGTGTTAAGCCGCCGAAGCCGTACAACGTGAGCATCAGGAGGGGAACAGAATAATTGTTATTACTATTAAAAGTTGTTTAAAAATTACGTTAGAGAATAATTAAAATTTTGTGAGTACTGATTAAGTTTAATACGTCGTGCTTCATTATTTATTGTGGTATTATAACAGATTCGTGTTCGAAAATAATTGAGGTTAAGTTTGTGTACTCAAGAATTACGAAAATGGCATACAAACCTCAAAAAGTTCAAAAAGTAATGGTTCAACCCATCAATTTGATTTTTCGTTACTTACAAAATCGATCAAGAGTGCAAGTATGGTTATATGAAAATATCAATTTAAGAATCGAAGGACACATTGTAGGGTTCGATGAATATATGAATCTTGTTTTGGATGACGCAGAAGAATACTATGTGAAGACCAAAAACAGAAGACAGTTAGGACGAATCATGCTCAAGGGCGACAACATAACACTAATTCAAAATGTAAATCCTCAAGCGGGAAATTAGTGATTTTTTGCTGTTCTCTAAGAACAAAGTTTGTAATTTAATTTAATCTGCTATAAATGCAAATTGTTGTTAAAAGGCAGATTCATTATAATAACTTAACACCTTATGTTGTAAGGGAAGCTGATAAATACAACGTATTTTACTAAATTTTTGTTTTATTGAAGTAATTTCGAAAAAAAATAGGTGATATGTGTAGTAACAGTAGAGGTGAGAAGATGCATTGATTTTCTTTAGATTATTGAATGTCTGTGTGATATATTTTTGAAGCTTTACATTTTGTAGGAGGTAAAGCAGCAGCTGGTTTTGTTGAGAGGTGTGTAAGTTACATTGGCGAAAATGCTGCTGAGTGTGTGAAAACAAATTCCTTTCTCTCTTTGTCGAAAGAAGCTGTTCTAAAGTTAATATCTTCAGATTATGTGAGTTAGTGACAAATTAGTTAACAACGGTTAATTTGTTTTGCGTTACAGCTTTGTTTAGAAGAGGAGGATGTATGGCGAGCCATATTGAACTGGGCCAAATATCAAGCAGGTGTAACCCAGCCAACAGCACACTGGACGGAGGAAGAGAGAGTTAGAGTATGTCAACATCTCTCTCATGTAATAAATCATGTACGACTTCTTCTCATTGGTTAGTTCTAATTTTTGTGTATATATATATATATTTTTTGTAAACTGATAATATGTTGCTAGATAGTCAAGTATTTGCAGAAGAAGTAGAGCCCACTGGGGCAGTTCCCATGGAATTAAGTCTCGAAAGGTATCGACATGCAGCATTGCCAAGCAAATATCCTGAAGGTTCAGAGGACCAAAGACTACGTCCACGAATTTCGCCTCATTTATTTCCAGGCTCGTTAATTCTTGGGCAAGATAAGAGTCACTATCAGAGAGTTTTAAATACTTGGTTTGGCAATCCAAAGCAAAGTTGGCGCCTTACGTTTAGAGCTAGTAGTCATGGATATTCTGCATCAGCGTTTCACAGACACTGTGATGGAATTTCACCAACATATGTAATAGTCCTTGTAAGTACCATCAGTTAGAAAATATAAAGAATGTTCTTGGTTCCATAAATATATATTTTGATTCATATATCACAAATACTAGTAATTCTATAAACAAACAACAACCAAACTACTTTTTTTGATAATAATTCGATCCTTTCAAGAAATTTTATTAGTATAATTTTTTTTTATAAAAAACAAAATACCATGGAATATCTATTATATAATTTTTGTGGCGGTGCGTTTTTTTATCTTTTCTATTATTATTGTATTAGAACAGCTTCTCAAAACTTTGACAAAAGACTCAAAAAGCTACAAAAATAATAGGAGTAGTAAAAGTCGCATATCAAAAGCAGTCTCAAATATGACAGACAGCTTGAAAGTTGAATGAACTACATACATATATCTGTACTCTACCATTTCTAGTGATACACCATTTGTTGATCGTAAATTTGGAAATGTTCATATTCAGGCAATTTTCTAACTAAAAACCGTTCATAATAACCAAAAACTGTTAGTTATCTATTGTTAAATTTTAAGCAAAATCAACTTTTGTTTTCCACACAAATAGCAGAGACAATACGTACAACGTACATTTACAGCTTTTTTTTAGGAGTAATTTACAGAGTATTTCCTTTAAAAAAATGATCCATTTAAATCATTTAATACTTCTGCAGGACACCAGTAAGAATTGAGTTTCAGCGATAATTTTACACCAGTGCAAAATTATCAGCTTTGACATTTCGTTGAAAATGGTAAATATAAGATTACAAATTTTTATTTATAAAAGCTACGTTTCACTTTTAAAAAGTACAATTATTACGTGTACAATTAAGGAAACTTTTGTCTTCTAACTCTTTGTCTTGTACACACGACGACCCCCACATTTTTTCTATTAGACTGCAGACCTTTTGCGACAGTATTCCATAGTCTAGATTACGCTTTCTTCGTATTCAGTTCCATCACATCGTCTCATATTAAAAGCAAAATCGTATAATATCAGAGCGAGTTCCGATGCAGTATTTCTTTCCTCTTGCTTCACAAAAATGTTCAAATTACTTCTGTGGAAATTCTTTTGATTTTTTAGTTTTAATTGGACTTCAACTATTTATTTCCAATTCAATTTTACTCAAGAAGCTTTCGCCAACCGACAGGAATGCATTTTTACTTTTCACTGTTTACGTTGACATGCAAAAATTTGCGTAGATATAGATTCAAAAAAGATTTGCTTTTTCATCATTTTTGTGTAAATTACGTTAATCTTTTAATTTTATTGGAATAGAATAGTCTACAAAAAATATCCGCTCGTGCAAATCAAATCGTCTCCTAAAAAAATTGTGGACAATTTGACATGCACTTGGGATATTATTGTTGAAAATCGTACTACACCAGATACTGATCTGTAAGAACATATAACTGAAATTCGAAACACCATTATTTAATCACCAATAATATTAGATTATTAAAATTTGAATTTTCTTATCAGGTATAATAGATAAATTGTCGGCGTTTACGTCAGTTACCAGGCTTGGAACAGCTCGTGATGGCAACATTGCATTAGAACTCAAAATCACAGCCTATTTTCGAGTTTTTAAAATCAGTCGTGGATAGCAAGCAAAGTTGGTACAAGAAAAACTTACATTTGTCACTGTCAGTTTGGCACAAGTACTTGGAGTGCAAAATACAATCTCGCATTTAAAAATGATAAAAAAAAACTGTGGCGTCGAAGGAGGTTCCAATAAATCTGGTGGCCCTTATTCACTATTAAAACTATCTTGTGTCCCTGAATAGCGAGAATTGTGGATAAACAACTTAAAACTTTCAAAAACTACACAATGCTCTCTTTTGCGAAATACATTTTGGTAAAAGTTTTAAAATTAAGCCTATATTTTAACGCACTTCCTTTTCCCTCACGTTGGTATTTTCCAAAAATATTTTATAGTAGGTTTTATTTAAATTTTTTTCATGTAATTTAGAAAATTGTGCAGTAACCTTCTAAAACTAGGTAACCATAATTTTGTTGCTTTATTTGATAAAGCAGAGGGAAAAGGAAGTGCGTTACACTTCCTTTTCCCTCACGTTGGTATTTTCCAAAAATATTTTATAGTAGGTTTTATTTAAATTTTTTTCATGTAATTTAGAAAATTGTGCAGTAACCTTCTAAAACTAGGTAACCATAATTTTGTTGCTTTATTTGATAAAGTTGATTTACGAGGACATAAATTACTGCTGGATTTTAGTTAATTAGGCCTATTTTCGAAACTATACTTACAAACAAATATAAAAAGTATAACAGTGTGATGGTTCGAACGATTTTTTAACAACCCCCCTCCCCACAATTTTAAAATCACAAAATTGGAGATATTTCAATGAGGCCGAGAAATTTTCAGTTGTGTGTAATTATATTTCCATTTGAATAAATAGACTTACGGGCTTTGCTAATGTATTTTTCATTTTCATCAAAACTCTAATAACGGCGGTACATTAATGAACTCAGATATTGCGAAATGGAGATGCCTAATCTAAGTTCTGATGTGCCTCGAATCTCTGACTTTTAATTTTTAGATGTAGACTTTTACTATAATTTTACTACTTTGACTACATTTGTCAAATATTATCGTCAACTGAAAAGTAATTATGCCAATCTTATTTCAATTAATATATTTGGAAAAAAGATTTTTTGGGATCCAAGTAGGACATGATTTTCAGTTCCTCTACAGTGTTGCGATCGCGAGCTATTCCAAGCCTGGTAATTGACGCAAGCCCTAGTATAATCGTTGCCATTTCTATTGAGACATCACCTCGTAAATTTGGCAGTGTTTATATTCAGACAATTTTCTAACTAAAGACGTTCTCAATCTAGCCAAATTTGAATCAAAATCAACAGGTGATGTTTCAATAAAAATGGCAAAGACTTTACTAATTTTGCAGAATCAAAAAATATTTTATACAAAAAATCGTAGAGAAACACTCAAAACTGCTTAGTTTTGTTAAAAAATGTTAGAGAATTAGATTTTTTAAGCGCGCATTACAAGGGTCGAAATTATTAAGAGTATTATTTATTCAACTAATTTACTGTATTTATGTGGTTAACGTAATTCTTTTGAATATTGCTTTTTAGTGAATCTGCAAAACTTTTTTGGAAAATATAACATATTATGAAACAATCAGCACGGGTTTTGCAAAGAAAAATGAATAATAATAGTATATGTATTGTCGTATATAATACGAGTAGTCAGATAATTTTTCCCAAAGACATGGACTCATGATATTACTATTGAAAACGGTACTACACCAAATACTGACCTATAAGAGGACAGAACTGAAATTTATTCAGTTATTCATAACGAGTTGCCGTTTATGACGAAAATCACACGAGTGCACGAAGGGGATGAGTGTGATTTTCCAAAGCAAACGGTAACAAGTGGATATGTATGATCACGACAAGTATTGCAGAAGAGAATCTGAGCAAGAGTTGTATTCAGCAAAATAATGCAACAACAATTCCTAATATCAAAAATGGCATTAATTGATGACATTTGTACATAATCTGTCATAAGAGAAACGAGACGTGTGGAAAGTTTTGAATTTAAAATGTAATGGTTATAATAGCTCGGAAAAATTTAGTTTTGCTCTAAAATGTTTAAGAAGCAATAGTGAATTTAGTTGGTAGCACGGTGGGTCGGGAAATTTTTATCGGCTAACTTTGATTTTTAATTGCCGAATTTTCTGCAGTGTGCATGTTGTCAGTTATATTGTCACTTATCAAGAATCTAAAAGTGGAATATCGTCTCATCAAGAATTTGTAGGCTGACTGCGATTGGTTAGGTTCGCTTAAACATAGCCACTTTATTGATCAAATTTATATGCGTGAATTGTCAAACGTAAAACAATTCGATACAGCCAAACAGACAAATCATAAATAGGTATATCAACAATACAATTTACAAGTTTTTTCCAAAGAAATCTAGACTTCTGTAAGAGAACAACGAAAAATCTCAGTACTACTGCTAATTCAATACTATTTAATAATTAAGAAACATTGTATGCCACAGAATACTGTAAACCGTAATTTAATTAGTTCTATTAAAATTATAAATGTAAACTTCAAAATTACGTATTAAATCTGGGGAAATTTAAACGTAAACAATTCTAGTACCTAGTGCAGAACAATCAAGTAACATAAACAATTTTAAAGCCGAAACGATTTTTTATTTTACTTTCCATCTACACAACGAATATAAATTAGTTGTTAATAATGATCTTTGCCCATACCCTTATAAACTTATTTTGAATGTCAGATAATTAATTATTTTTTTAAGCGCAAAATATGGGTAGGTATCAGAGAAGGGATACCATTAAAGACCTTCTATGTTATGTAAATTCTTGGTTTTCATTTAATTAGACCACCGTCACTGACTGACCAGTGACAGTTATTAAACAATTTTATAAAAAAAATTATTGACTTTAAAAAAATGGAAATGTCCTGCTGGGGTCTTTTGTGACTTCAACTGGCGACATACGTTACGGTGGTTCGGCATGAGACCGTGCATTTTGGGTAGGCGGCGTTGGGGGCGGGGGTGTCATAAATCTGAAACTGAGTTTTCGTGACCTTGGAAAGAAGGGTGCAATTAATTTTTTATACCGCGTGTCTGAAAAATGGCGGATTAACTCTTCAGTACGTTATACAGGGTGACTTTGAAATAGAGGTGGAAAAAAAAAACACGGCTTCATGAAAATGTGTAGAAGAAGTTTTCGTTTTGTTTTATTAATTTTAATGCAGAGGTAAAAACTCCAAAATCCTGACCCCACTCGGCGCCATTGATATGCACAAAATTACCTTACCAACAACCTACAGGTAAAAATTATATGCATAGCAACCTGATTGTTAAAACTTGTTGCTGCAATTATTGCTAATAGTTCATAGAAATAAAACTTCGTAAACAGTTATTTTAGTTGAACTCGAATTTTTAATAAAGGAAAAAAATAAAATAAAAATAAAACAACATTAAAGAAACTGT